ACTAACACAAATCCTACTAATAAAACATGATGATGACTTCACCAGCTGTAGCATTAAAAGATTAACACAGTATATGTATCACTATAAACCAGTTATGTAATACATAAAACATGAGTCTGAACATGATTCTGATACTGGCCATTCTGCAATAATACTTTTACTTTTGGTAATGTATATTTTAATGCTAATACTTTTGCACTTTTACTTACTACATGGCATTTACTTGGAACAGAGTGTTTTAAACTTTGGTATTACTACCTGTAGGTGGTGGTATTGGTCAGAGTTCAAAGTTCCTACCCCACAGCTGAGTAGGAGGTGGACTCACCATAGGCAGATGCACAGACTCTCTGCAGGACTGATGCTCTCCCTGAAAGTTGTGTGCGCTCTGGAGATGGTGCTTCCAATCTTCTGGAGGAGTAGCTCAAATTGCTCCTTGGTTAACCTAAAATAGGCCTGGAACCGGTCTCCATCTAACCGCAGCTCTTGGACGAGGCGATGGTATTCACCGTATTGATGCCTCCGACGGTTAGTGTCATGCACCCACATCCTCCTTGCTCTACATGTACGTCTGTCAGATTGAGCAGTGACAGCAGGGACATCACTATTAAGCTCATACAAACATAATATGAGCACAAACATCTTCCGGTTGGTGCTCATCGTGAAAGAAATGTCAAACTATAGCCTAGATAAAAAACAAAGAGGTGATGCTGCAAAACTGCGCAGCTACAGGAATTGTCAAGATATTTTTGTCATAGAAACGAAAACCCTCGTGAGCGTTTTTTTTGGGGTGCATAGACGCTTCATCCCAGCGCTCCGCAGCGCCCTTCCAGCGCCTTTCTGCCAGAAAAAGGCGCTATGTGGACACAGGCCCTTAGTCTTTATAATCATAACTACACTCTTTTCAGAGTTAAATTTGATATCAAACTGCTTTCCGTAGTCTGTGCAGACTCTAAGAAGTTACTGCAGATCAGCAGAATATGGAGACATGATGACCAAATCATCAGCGTACAGTAGGTGATTAATCAGCTTTTCTCCCACCATACAGCCAGTCCTACACTCTTTAAAGGATAACTTTGGTATTTTTCAACCTGGGCTCTATTTCCCCATGTGTATGTGTGCGTATGATTCATAGGTACAACTCGTTCTAAAATTGGTTCAGTATTGAGGGAGGCGGATGCAGCTGGAGCCGCGAAACGAGCTAAAACAGTAACAGGGGCAAATGCGTCCCGTATAAGTTTGCGCATTAAAAGTGCTTTTTTTGCCACTGACGGGTTCAGATCGCCAGTGCTATCTCTGTAAATAGCATACTAGCCTTTCCCTTACCTCTGGGCTGTGTGATGTCACGAGCTTTGCTCCACTGTGTCTGTAGCTCTCTCTACTCGTGGGACAGCCGTTTTCTTGAGGAAGAGGTGTTTCGGGATTGGATGTCTTCTCTTCTTCGGCTGGCAGTAGTCATCTTGGGAGAAGTGAGCACTGCAGACCCGATGGTCTGCAAGGCGCAGTGTCTGGACAGGAGTGTTAGCATCCATTTGTAGCACAACTAGCCACAACTTCAGCATCTCGCCGTCCGACAAAGGCAGCCTATGAAAGCTGTACGGGGTGTTGCGCAACATCCTGTTCTTGCGTTCGGGAAAAAGGCCCGTTTATTTGAGCACTCCAAAAACTCCGGTAACACTCCAGGGGGTAGCACGTAAAAGACTCCGTCCTCTGACTCTGACTCTTCTAGCGTAACACACACACTTCATACACACATACTCACTTACAGTACCGAGCGGGGACACCCTCCCCCTCTCTGCTCCAACACTGACTGACAGCTGACTCCACTCATTCACACTCATCACTGCCCCAGGGCCGCTACAATATGCTATCTACAGAGACAGCACTGGCGATCTGAACCGATCAGTGGCAAAAAAAAAAGCACTTTATACGGGATGCATTTGCCCCCATTACCGTTTTAGCTCGTTTCGCGGCTCAATACTGAACCAATTTTAGAACGAGTTATACCCATGAATCATACGCACACATACACATGGGGAAATAGAGCCCAGGTTGAAAAATACCGAAGTTGTCCTTTAAGCCTTTAGAGAGCTCATCCATATACAAACTAAACAACATACTGTAGGTGACAGAATTCCACCCCGTCAAACCCCATTTGTCACTGAAAAGGGTTCAGATATAGTGTTACCCCTCTCTCTCATAATTTTGCAAACAGTTTCCCATGATTAATGCTATCCTTAGAGGAATCTAGGAAGCACAAAAACATGGTAGAGTTTTGTTTTCTATATCTACTGACAGCCTCTTTCAAATCATAGATACACATGTCAATGCCATGTTTATTTTTAAATCCGAACTGCTCATCAGTGGTGGTTATATGTTCCTGTAGCCTATCTAGCAGGATTCTCTCAAGCACTTTTGACAAGACACTGGCCAGAGCAATGGGTCTGTAATTCTCAATACAGGATATCTTCCCTGTTTTATCTTTAATTACTGGCACCAGCAAAACAGACAACATAGAGTCAGGTAGTGTGCCATGCATCAACATTCCAGAGAAACACAGAGAAAGTAGAACAGAAACCCTGTAGCTCTGCTGTAATCTGATCAAGGCCACAAGATTGATTTAACGCCAGTTTCCCAATAGCATAACTGACTTCATCAGGCCTAATAACCACATTTTCAGGGGAAACATCGCCAACAGTAAAAACATCACTTTTAACACAGTTAAAAAGGTCACTGTAGTGTCTTCTCCATAATTCAGCAATATTTACATTCCCAGTTACCCCTTCAATACTAGAGGGCAAAGGTATTTTACTGTCATTCATGATCTTAACTTCTTTCCAAAAGTCCTTAACTTCATTTTGCTGCAGTTTTCTGGCCACAGAATTAGTTCTCAAAGGCTGTTCGTTCCTCTTAATAAATCTCACTGCATACTTGAACCGAGTGACAGCCTGCTTCTTAGTTTCACACTCAGGTCCATGCCTTGGTTTGCCTGAGATAACCCAGTTTTTAAAGGCTTCTCTAGCCTGCTGATGTAGTGCATCTACATACTCGTTCCAACCTGGCCTAAAGTGATGCCATTTAGCCCTTCTCTGCCTGAATGGTTTACTAGCCTTATTCAGACAACTCACAATAAAGTCATACATTACACATAGTACCACATTATGTTTAGAGTTTGCACAATTAATATTACCACACAATATAGCAATATATGGAATGTCAATATTCCCTAGGCTCTTCTCAGTCAAGTCATAATAATACCATAGCTCATCATCAGAGAGTCTAGCCCACTCCAATTTCTCACCATGATTTTGGTTATCATTAGCAGTCAGCACAGGTAGACTTTCTATATTCAGTATAATGGAGACAGGCATATGGTCTGTTGTTGCCAGCCCATGCAATATCTCAATCTTCTTCACACCTTCATGAGCATCAGCTGTACATATACAGTGATCTAGCCAAGATGTTTTATTCCAAGCATCACTAACATATGTATAGCTATCTGCTGGCAACAGAGCCTTACTAGACAAAATGAGCTTGTTAACATGACAAAACTCAGTCAGGTATTGGCCAAACAAAGATTTCACATCAGAAATGTCTGCATTCATGTCACCCATTACATTAATACAAGTATATTCATTTTCCTCAATAAAAGCAAGCCTTTGAAGGTATAGATCTCCATTACTGGGACATTCATATGGTGTGTAAACATTTAAAATGATGAACACATTATTGTTATAAGCAACTTTTATAGCTATACACCAGTCTACGCCCATTCTAATCACACTGATCAGAGGGTCATATTTTTTATGTCACATTATAGCCACACCTCCAGGTATCCTGCCATGCACAATACCCAAACTCAAATCTGTTGTAGACCCCTGCCCCATGGAAGTTACTGTTAACAGAACTGAGCTTGTCCAAATCTTGTTTGGAGAGAAAAGTTTCTTGTATACAGAGGATGTCCGTGTCCTCGAGGAGTTTGTCAATAACAAAACGCCGCGCCTTATCCCTCAGATTTTCGATTGGTGAAACAATTCAGAGGGAGCAAAGCCGATTCTGTTCTGGTCGTGGGACAATGGACCAGCACTTCACCCTTGCAAAGCTGCTGGAGGAGCACTGTGGGAGTGTCCCTATCCAATCTACATGCACTTTGTTGATTTGGAGGAGGCTTGTGATCATGTCCCCCAGAAGTCCTGTGGGGGGCACTGAATCTGTTGCTATGCGCTATCTGGTCCTTTTATAACCAAAAAGAGAGCAGACAACTTGACAAAAGTCAAACATGTTTTCAGAGGGTGTTGGCTTTCGCTAGGGCTGTCCCCTGTCACCGATTTTGTTTGTGGTATTTGTGGACAGGATCTCAAGATGCAGCCGTGGGGAGAGAGGGGTCCAGTCTGGGGACTTCAGACTTGCGTCTCTGCTCTTTGCTGATGATGTGGTTCTAATGGCTTCATCACAACGTGACCTCAAGCATGCGCTGGGGTGGTTTGCAGCCGAGTGTGAAGCTGTTCAGGATGAGAGTACCTCCAAGTTTGAGGTCATGGTTCTCTATTGGAGGATGGTGGGTTGTTCCCATGGGTGTGGGAGTAACTGCCCCAAGTAAAAGAATTCAGGTATCTGGGGGTCTTGTTCATGTGAGGGCAAATAGAGTGCAAGATGGACGGGCAGTTTGGTGCAGCCTCAGCAGTGATGTTGGCCTTGTGCTGGTCCATCGTAGTAATTTATCAGGCCAGCTACGCTTCGACCCTCACCAGTAGTCATAAGCTTTGAGTAGGAACCAAACACAACAGATCATGGATACATGATGAAATGAATTTCCTCATTTGGCTGGGCTCAGCCTTAGAGATGGGATGAGGAGCTTAGACATCCAAAGGAAGTCTGGATTAGAGCTGCTGCTCCTTTGTGTTGGAAGTGGCCAGTTGAAGTGTTTCAACATCTGATCAGGATGCCTTCTGGATGCCTCCTGTAATAGGTTTTTAAAGCACGTCCAACTGGCAAAAGGCCCCTGGTGGGACCAGAAACACACTGGAAGGATTATATATGTCATCTGGCTTGGAAACATTTGGGATCCCCCTGGGAGGAGGATCTGAAAAGCGTTACTGGGAATAGATGAACATAAATAAAATGACTGTGTCTGTCTGTCTCTCTCTCTCTCTCTAGGCTGTCAGGCTGTCTGATCACAGAGGAAGGCTGTACCTCTCTGGCCTCAGCTCTGAGATCCAACCCCTCCCATCTGAGAGAGCTGGACCTGAGCTACAATCATCCAGGAGACTCAGGAGTGAAGCTGCTGATGGATGGACTGAAGGATCCACACTGGAGACTGGACACTCTCAGGTATAAGCAGACAATGAGAGCTAAATACTTTGAGGCCGTCTCTTTTATGTTGAGGTTCAAGTTCATTTTTAAGTACTGGTGCAGTGCCCGTCATAACTATATATTTTGTGCGTGAAGATGTGTAGAAGAAAAGCTTGTCTGTCCCTACCACATAGGACGGTCATTACTTCTATGAACTTCCACTCCGTGTTGTGTGACCAGTGCTCTCCCACTGTATGTCCCACATATGTGTCACATATCTATTTTACACTGTCACAGTCATTCGGCTTATTTGTTGCAATGTTCACAATGAGCCAGGCCCACTAATTCAGCGTAGTTTAACCTACTTTGAAATCCCAACACCCGAAAACCTGTCAGCTGTCAGGGGGGCGTGGCCACCGCAGGCATCGTCCAGTGACTTGCATTTTTTGCTTCTTTAATTTGTGTGTTTCACATTTCTCGTTCAAACAACTTCAAAGTCAGAAACGGCACACCCACGTGCCCTGAGGAAGGTATGTACCAAATATTAGGTCAGTCCACTGAACGGTTTAAGAGATATGCGACTGAATGACACACAGACAGACAGAGACATCGTGCATTATATAGACATACACATTTTTAGAAAAAAAAAAAGCCTTTTTGCATCAACATCCATATTTGAAGCATCGCCTGGATATAAACTGTAGCTGCACCTTGACTGGTTCGTGGAGGAATACAACCATGAGGCTGTAATTCCAGTTTTATAAATGTGGCTGTTTTGTCTCAATGGTCCATCTGAGTGAAGGTTTCAAGAGATGACTGATGAGGAAGCTTCTGAAGGTTCATTCTGACTTTGTGTCTTCATCCAGGTTGGAACATGGTGGAGAGCAGAGGCTGAAACCAGGTCTGAGGAAGTGTAAGTGTGTGTTGACTTTGGTGAAACATGGCAGCTCATGTTTAAGACACAGATTGATTGATGAAAATAAGAGCACATGTTAATCTGCTAGGTGGAGTTTTGATCTAATTAACAGTCAGTCTGATAATAAAGCAACAATAAACCTGTCAGGTGTGTGAGATGATGAACTGCTGCTGGTTTGTGTCTTGTTCTCTCCATCAGATGCCTGTGAACTCACAGTGGACATGAACACAGTAAACACACACCTCAAACTGTCCGACAACAACAGGACGGTGACAGCAGTGAGAACGAGGCAGCCATATCCTGATCATCTGGACAGATTTGACTACTGGCCTCAGCTGCTGTGCACAGATGGTCTGACTGGTCGCTGTTACTGGGAGGTGGAGTGGAGAGGAAGAGTTTATGTATCAGTGAGTTACAGAGGAATCAGGAGGAAAGGAGACAGTCACGACTGCTGGTTTGTAGGGCATGATCAGTCCTGGAGTCTGTGGTGCTGTGAGGATGAAGGTTATTTTGTCTGTAGCAATAAGAGAAGACTAACCCTCCCTTCCTCCTCCTCCTCCTCTTCCTCCTCTGTCTCTAACAGAGTAGCAGTGTATGTGGACTGTCCTGCTGGCACTCTGTCCTTCTACAGAGTCTCCTCTGACTCACTGATCCACCTCCACACCTTCAGCACCACCTTCACTGAGCCTCTTTACCCTGGCTTTGGGTTGTTATCATACAGTTCCTCAGTGTCTCTGTGTTCACTGCCTAACCTTTATGCCCAGGCCAGAAATCTTGGTTTCATCTTTGAACAAATGAACACAGTCGTGAATCTGCGCTTTCACGAAACAGTTGGTAGCACAGCTTTCACATCAAAATGGAAGTGTGCCATTATCTAATGTGTTGCATTTTTAAGACCATACGAAGGTCCCAGGTCATGCCAGGTCATGCTAACGGTAGCTAACGAGGCTCCATTGACTTGCATGTTAAGTAGCTAGCAGGCTAGCGAGGTAGCTGGCTTTGTTGGTGTATTTTGCGGTCTATGGTTTAATTTAAAAAGTAATAAATCTGAAGTACGTCACACATGAACTCTTTAAACACTAACCTGTTCAGAGTTTAACGTTATGTTATTGCCAACACAGCAGACTTTTTTTTTTTTTTACATGTGTGCAGAGCAGACTGCTGCAGTATAGGAAAAATACACAGGACTAGTATGAATTATGTGGTTCATTCAGAAGTGTCAGAGGACTGAGCTGTTGTCCATGTGCTTATTATGTTAATCCCTGTGTTGTTTCTTGCACTCTCTGTAAAGAAAATAATGTGCTATACAAATAAATTTGCTTTGCATTGCATTACCTTGCCTTTGTCTGACCACAAACATATGTTGGATGTTTTGGTACAAACAAATTACAGTGTTACAGTGACGTTGAGAAATGGGTCTGTATTTGTTACTCTTATTTACAGCAGTTACAGAAAGTATGGCCAAACAATATTTTTCCATGCTTGAAATTACTTAAACTAAAACACTAATTTAGATGGAGTGTGATGAACATCTTGAGTATCAGTATCTAAGAGAAGTGGAGCTGAGGCTTTGTCAAATCCACCTCTGAGGTGGGATCCAAATAATCCTGAAATTTGGTATCAAATTGATCCAGATCTCTACCTTAAAGGGAAATTCCAGTTTATTTCAACCTGTCTCCTATCGTCCTAAATTTGTTTCAAGTGAATAGTGACATAGAAATAATAGTTAGCATGTTAGCCGTTAGCCTAGATACAGCCGGGGCGCGTAGTAGCGTCAGACCTGTTAAAACGTAAGTGAACGGGCAACCTTCAAGTGCAAAGTTAGTCCACTAAACAAGCTTTTTTCCACAAAAACATGTCATGTATTATTCTCACTGAAAAAGTTGAACACAAAGCTTTTGTCACCACACAACTGTTTTTATTGATCAAAAGAGTCTAAGTAAAGTAGTGGTTGACTATGGCTTCTCTCATTGATCGTCCATTTGGTCCATCTGGATGCAGTCCTGGCAGTGGTGGGTCAGGCACATCTTGGGGCTGTGAATGATCACCTCTTTAATATGTTAAAAAAGAATGATTGACATGTGGGTACTGACCCTCCCCCTTTCTTTCTTTTTCATTTTGGCTTTGTTGTGTTTTTTGGTTGATTTTTTTTTTTTGTATGGTGTTAACTATGTATGAAAGGACAGCAGTTATACATTTTCTGTTTGCTCAATTGATGAGTTTTGTCTTGGCTGTCTGGAATAAAACAAAACAGAGTTAAAAAGAAAAAACAAAGTAAAATTATTTTGAGTTACATGTGGGAATTGTTTGGGTCTAGTGATCAGTAGGAATATCTAGGATGTGATAACGTGCTTTGGTATTTATTGTGCTTTGTGTAATATTAACATGTATTTTGTTTACTATTGATTTTGTACGGCAGCTCTTATGATGAGAAGTAATGTAGCCTAGGCTATATTTTGTAATCTAACATTCTGGTTTCACAAACTTCAGTTTCCCAGTAAAGTTAAGAAAACAAATTGAATGGTGTCAGACAGTATCCCTCTGTCCAGCCTGACCGCCGGCATTAGTACACTGTGCAATGTGCCATGTGTCCTACATCTCTCTACATCCACCTTGGATCCATGCTTGATCCACCCTTCCAGTGGGATCAGGATAATCCTGATTTTTAGCTTCAAAACTATCCCAATCTCCACCTTAGAATTTTGAAATACCCAATACCAACATTTGATCAGGATTCTGGGTAGGACTGGATTACCTAATCCATATCCCAATTTTACTAGGATCAGGATCACATATCCTGGTTTGAAATACCCAGTTGTGAGATTTAAGCCTATCCAGACCAGTCTGATCCAGATTAAAAGTTTTGAAATACTGGGCCCTGGAGATCATCATGAATGCCCTGATCTCCTCTGGTTTGGATCACTGTCATGCTCTGTAAGTGGGAATAAGCCAGTCATCCTTATCTCACTGGTACAGAACGCTGCTGCTAGACTTCTAACTGGTCCACAGACCACATCACACCAGAGACCAGAGGCCTCAGTACTGTGAAAGCAGTTCATCTTCCCCAGGATATCTCCTCCTCCTCTGCTCTGACTCACCCGTCACATCCAGCGTCTGGATAACTGCTGCTACAGAGCTGGTTATGAACTAGTTCAGTCAACTCTGGGTTTTCCTATCAGCCACCAGCACGTTCATGTGAAAGAGGCGGGGCTGTTAATGATGAGTGACGTCATCAGAACCATGCATGAAGTACTTCATATGATATGAGATGAAACGGTACAGAAAGTGTCTGCAACTGTGAGACAGTAAAATGTCAGTGGGATGTAAACGATACTCTGTGATCTTCTAACGGGAAATGTAGAAACACTGAAAACACCGTGTCATTTATAATAAGGAGAGCTGATTAACAGTGTGTGGATTATTTGACTCATGAAATATGATGTGTTTTTATCCTCGTTCTCATCACACAGGTGTCTCATGTTATTCTGAGCTGCAGTGATGAATCACAGTGTCAAATATCAACACTGTCGCTGCCACTCAGATAAACTTTGCATCAGTTTAAATTAACAGCTGCAGTGAGTTGGTTCAGTTGAGTCAGGCTGACACGCGCCGCTGTGTCGTCACTGTGAGTAAATAATGGACACGAGGGCGGTGGTTACCGTAAAGATGAGAGTGGAGGCGCAGCTGCTCTGACTGCAGGCTGTGCAGCTGTGAAGGAGCAGCTCCCACAGTGTGCTCTTGATGATGCAGGTCTGACGGAGCTGACGCAGAGCTTGATGTTTAATCATTTCACAGCAGTTGGCTTCGAGTTCTCTTCACACTGACCACTTTTAAACCAAATCTTTGTTGGGTTCGATGTTGTAGAGTCGACCTGTTATGGTTGAGACACAGCTGATAGAAATATTATCAATGACTCATCAAATATAAATGTGTCCAACACCTGAGCAGCATCCACACCTTTTTGGAAACCAGGAAGTGAGACGGGAGTCCCTGTGACGTAGCTCACTCCTTTTATACCTGACTTAATTTTCAGCAGTAGTTCAGTCCACGGGGTCTTGGAGGGTCGTCGGTTCAAGTCTGGAGCGTGGACTGGTCGCTGCCGAGGAGACCCTGAGCAAGACACTGAACCCCCAACTGCTGGAGGCGCTGGCCCATGGGCGACCCTCCTGCTCTGACATCTCTTCAGTTAATTCTGTGGATATTCTCATTTATCCAGGTCAATTCCATTCTGGCAACAATTAAATCGTAGGCAACTGGACTTTGATTTTGTCTAGAAGACGTTTCGCCTCTTATCCAAGCGGCTTCATCAGTTCTCAGCGCATCAGTCTGACTAGTCCTCACTAGTCTGACAAACAGTGGAGTAAGACTCAGGTTTTTAACCTCTGTGGAGGTGTACACCCACCACCCTCATAAGACAATACTTCGTTAGTGGAGTTTCACTGGACCATTGTTTGGGTCAGGTGAGTCACACTAGTGAACGACGGTCGTTAGGAGTGGGTGGGGCCACTGGTGAGCAACAGTCGTTAGGCATGATGTGTGGCTACCAGTGAACGACTGTCGTTGTGTTTCTTTGAGCCACTTGAGGTTAGTTTCGGGCAGTCTTTGTTGTTCAATCTCTTAGGTACAGCAGCAAGGGCCGCATTGTAAATGGGGGATAGGTGGTGTCTCAGGCCACCTCCCCTGTTTAGAGACGGTTTCTCTATTTTAACGTAGATGGATTCTTTCACCCCTCTTTCGAACCATCTGTCCTCTCTGTCCAAGATTTTGGACAGAGGTTAAAAACCTGAGTCTTACTCCACTGTTTGTCAGACTAGTGAGGACTAGTCAGACTGATGCGTTGAGAACTGATGAAGCCGCTTGGATAAGAGGCGAAACGTCTTCTAGACAAAATCAAAGTCCAGTTGCCTACGATTTAATTGTTGCCTCTTCAGTTAATGTTTGGGCCTGTGTGTAGTTTGTAATGTGTCAGTGACACCGGAGTGAACACACTGAATACCTCCTGGAGGAGCAAGAACGTGCGTCTCCTTCTTTTAAAATATGTTCTGGTAGAGATCTGACGTTGATGTAAATCTTTAAAGGTCCACCATTCTCATAGAGAACACATTGCAAAGCACAGATGATCATGTCAGCAGAGATGTTCTCAGCACCAACTGTTAGTTTTAGATTTGAGAGGCTTTGAACACATTTTTTAACAGCTGGAAGTTGTGAATTGAGGCTGTTTTCTGACACAGGACAAGTTTAGAGGTTAAAAAAGAGGAAGCAGATCAAAATATTTTATAAATCAGATTTATTTCATATAAATTAATCTGTTAAAAATAATGTGTCTTCCCATAAACAAAACTCGATACAATATTATTTAGATTTTAAACATGTTGCTGAGTATTGGGATCAAATATGAAGTGGTTTATCACCTTTACTGACTGTACATTCTGTCCCCACAGGAAACTGTCATCGTCTGTTTGATCTAATCAAGTTTTCAATCTGTTCGTCTGAATTCTGTTTGTTTTATTACGATTGAACTTATTACGCTACAATAAGATTTATTAGTATTTTTTATATATTTATATTATATGTAGTAAATAAATACTTGGTGTCTGTGTGCTGCTAACAGTCAGCGTGATAGCTTGTTTATTGTAACAGCTGTTTGTTTGTTTGTTTTTGAGATAGTCATGGCAACAAGAGCGTAGGTTACCGTAAAAATGAGAATAGAGGAGCAGTGCAGTTTAGTGTGTTGCTGCTCTGATCTGCTCCTCAGCTCTGTGGAGATGCTGCGGGTAATGAGCTCCATCTAGTGGACTGACAGCAGAACTACATCAGCTGATCTGCAGCTCCAACATGTTGTGACCACAGCTGCTCAGTCAGCTCTGAGTCACTGTGAGCCACAGGTTTCTCATGGGAAATGTCCTTTGTGCGTCGCAGTTCAGTTCGAGTTTAGTTTTGAAGGTCGGGCCGAAAGATTCTGGTTCTTGTTTTGGTGTCTTCACTGTAACAACAGTCCACACGCTCCACTCCTTTACAACAGACAGAAACACTCTGATCCACATTCAGATCAAAACAAATAACTTCAGACACAGTTTAGGTTGTTTTTTTCACCAGGTCAAAAAGCCAGACGCATTAATAAACATCATATAAACTTCAAATGGCAAAACAGAGTGAACCAGATAGTAAACAATAAACAAATCCAAATAGACACCCTGCAACATGACAACAACATAATCTAGTAGAAACGTCTCCCGCACACTGTCTGACCTCCAAAAATAATCATCTTCCGCAACATTTTGGTGACTAGACCTTCGTCAGGCCTAACGTCATGTGGCCGTATGATATCCCATGTTGAGGCTGCAGCTCAGCTGATGTAGTTCTGCTGTCAGTCCACTAGATGGCGCTCACCACCCACCTTGGTCTAGTCACTGAAACGTTGCAGCAGCTTTAAAATCGTTGTTTTTGCAAGTTAGACGGAGTGCTGGAGTCTTTTCTACTGGTTTTATTCTTCTCATCCTTCTCCTGCGCGCCTGTTTGAGTATAGATGTGCGAAGTATTCCTTCATTTTGAAAAAAATAATCTAAACAAAATGTTGACGGACACGAGGATCATACGGTCCAAACAACACCTTCTCGTCCCAGGTCGTCACATATCGCTGCTTTGTCAGTGCACTGTCACGTCTACATATCACATGCGAGGTTTCATCCTGCATCTGTGGTT